TCTCTCTCTCTCTGTGTGTGTGTGTGTGTGTGTGTGTGTGTGTGTCCATACACATATGTATAAGGAAAGAGACAGAGTCCAAAGAGAAAGATGGAAAAGTACAGAGAAGTGGTAGTGCAATAATTTTTGTCAGTACTATTTTACAGATTTAAGAACAACGGTTGCTAAACTGTATTTCATGAATTCTTGGGAATCTTGTTTGATGTGGATTCTGTTTCTTAAAATAGATTTTTTCTGTTTGCAAAACAAGATAGGGAACACAATATACAACTGTAATAAACTAGGCTTAGCAGAGTTATCCTGAGCTCCTGTTTGGCTCCACAGCATGTAAATGCTGTGTACATTTGACAACTAAGATATGCTGATAAACACAGTGTTACCTGTATGAACCATAGGGCATTTTAGTTTAACTTTCATATAAAGGGATTTGCTTGCTTTTAACAAATTGGAGAAACTGGGCCAGTGAAGGGAAAACAAATCTGAACATTGAGTGGGGGAGTCTTTGCCATTTTCAACAAAAATATAGCTAATTTAAGTTGGTAGAATTTAAGTTTTTTTCTGGATATATCCGGAAAGTTCCATTGCATTTTCTTTCTTCCACGTACCACTTGCCTAGGAATGACTCGTACTTCCTAGTTGTCCTGGTGGGTTATCTAAGCACTGGGACCTTCTCTCTCAGTTGCCAAATTCTTTCCAATTTTCCAAAACTTTTGTTGATGTTTCTGGGGTAAGGAAGTGGGTTTTGTCCAAGATGAAGTTCATCTACGTTTAGAAGGAAACGATGTTCACAAGCCTCTTCTTAAAACATCCAAGTTCAGAATCCATCTCACCAGTTCTCAGTTATTCAGTACATAATGGGAGTTCTTTTTCCCCAGACTTCTGACCCCGTGTCTTTGGAAAGATACTCCAAAGCGCTTCCCAAAAAACAAAGTAAAGGCTTCCGTTGACTACAAAATAACAGTTATAAATATTTTGGAAAATTCCTTAAGCATAAAAAGATAATTCCCTGCCTGACACATATGTTCCAAATGGCTGTATTCTGAGTACTTCATGTAAGAATGAGAATTGTCTCCTGCACATGAAAGGATGCCTAGTGTCCTTGTTTATCAGATGCAGAACAAAGCCACAGCAAGAAAATTCTGATACCCACAGGCATGGCTATGATGAAAAGAGCCAATACCAGGGATGTTCAATGAGAAAAACTGATTCATTCCTACAAGCTTTGTGCATTGTATTGCTGGATAACCAAAGCTTGGGTTGAGGTACTGTGGATGTCTAGCCTATTTATTGCTACAGTTTTCCCCTGGGAAAAAAATGTTCCAATGGGTTGTTTCATTTCCTGAGTGCGCTGGTAGGGATTGGAACAGATTGAGGACCCTTTGCCCCCACATGGAGAATGGCTCTACTGCTTCTGGGACTTGGATAGCTTCTTTGTTCTCAGCTATTTCAAAGTTCCTCTGGGTCACTTTTTTCCCCTTGATTTTTCAATTTTTCCAATCACTAGAACAGAATTATACTTTAATTCAAGTCATATTTAAAGTAGTTTGGTGATCTGGCCCTTGGAGCAAGTTACCACATGCTAACTTGGCAATTTTGGTCATATTTAGATTTTCCAAGCCTCAGTGTTTTCATCTGTAACAAGGGGCTAATAATACTATCAATTGCAGAGGATTTCCTGGAGTTACAAGACATAATCTAGTTAAAGCACTTTCCCAGTTTGTTTTAAAGCACTTCACATTTGTTGTATAGAGCAGACTGCAAGCAGTTATTCCTGTGACTCTAACTGGAAGGTGTCCTTCAATCTATATTGCCATTTCTTGTTAGAAACTGAGGATAGCGCCAAAGTTACTTAAGAACTAAGATGATACATGCAGAGCACTTAGCATGTATCTGGCATATGGAGGCTCTCTATCAGTATCACCTATTTTTAAGTTATTATTTTACTTTTACTTATTTATTTTCATGTGGGAAAGGGGAGAGAGCCTGTGACCACACCATATGGTTGATTTCCAGTGTGTAAACCTTACAGTGAGTTGATTTGCAACAGGCAAGGTCTGACTGTACCTCTCTTGTTCTTTCAGCTGCACAGTTGGACAGCATTGGCTTCAGCATAATAAGGAAATGCATCCATGCAGTGGAAACCAGAGGTAAAGTAGTCTAACAGATGGCGTTGTTCTCATGGGAGGTCACACATCTGTGAGGTACCAGACTTGCTACCTGCTGCTTCTGATTTTAAGTAACTCATTAACTCTCCTGGTACCACTGGTGTTTCTACAGGTCACCTTGGTCTGAAACAGGGGTTCTCCACCCATTTCATGTCTTCTATGTCTCTGGTTGATCATGAGAATGCCTTACATGTCTACAAATAGAATTCTTAGGCTTATGGAAACCAGGCCTAAAACTCAGTTATTATTAAAATAATTGAAAATATATCTGCATCAGACTTGTAGATAGGCTTCTTTAATAACATATAGTGGTTGGTCTCATAACTGGAATAATTTGGAAATTGCAATATTATAAACCTTCTTTACCATTGTAAGGAGTTAGGGAAATAGCTGTGATTTTGGACTGTGTTGCAGGTACTGAGAATACCACTGTGATTTGTTGTCTCATTCATAAGGGAAGGAAATGTGTAACATCAGTGGTGATGAAAATAAAGACTGTTTTGCCATCTAGTTCATAGCTCCCTGAACTCTCAAGGGATGATTATTTTAGAGTCTATGGACCCCAAGTAAAGGATCTTTGCTCTATAGACCTGGACCTGAGAATCATCAGGGACACAGAAGGAAGGGCTTGCTGCCTACTCCACACTGGCATTTCCTAGGTCTATTGGAGCAGGGTATTGAGATAGGGGAAGCTGGTTTACTGTAGTCCATCACAAGCCAGAGCCCTGAGTTCTGGCACGGTAGTGTCATGTGCCCTGATCCTTTGTAGCTCTGAGAAAAACTGTTAGCCATCTCTCCACGGAGAGTGATTAGAACCATTGTCAGACATTACATCTGTTTATTCTTCAGCTTTCTACCTACTTGCCTTTTTATTGGTTTGAAAGAAATTCTGTCTTTTAAAGAAGAGTTGTAACATTACTAGTGGGGAAATAGGGAGAGGGATGTGCGTGTGTGTGCGCGCGCACACACACACACAGAGACACACACACATACAGACACAGACACACACAGACACACAGACACACAGACACACACACACACACGCACGCACGCACGCGCGCGCACGCGCGCGCCGTGGGGGGAGAGGGAAACAGATAGCAACAAGACATCTTGAGTTCCTATGTGACCTATTAGGTTTCTCTTTCCAAAGAAGCTACTCTAACATGTAGAAATAGTTTTTTTTTTCTTTTTTTTTTTTTAATGTTTGATTATTTCTTCTTGACTCCCTTCAGCAAAAAAAAGTCAGGAACCAATGTAATGCCTCAAAATTTGGCTAAATCAAGAGTGGTTCACTCCTGTAGTAAAATAGTGTGAATAACTAAAAACAGAAATTTGCTTTTTAGGGGTGAAGGGTGGATATGGAGGGACTGAGAGGTGAATGGGACTGGAGTGCATGATGTGAAATTTCCAAAGAATAAATAAGGAATTATGTTTAACATAAAAAAGAAATGTGTTTTTGATATCCTATATTTATATGCATTAAGTGAAAAATACAACTTACAAGCAAACAGCTGGCCTGCTTGAGCCCATTCTGTGGTGTCTACCCAGAGGTCATCCTCTGCACAGGTCTCAGTGTGGTATTGGTGGCTGTCTGGTGTCTTCTACCCTTTTCTTTTGATTTTATGTTTGCTTTAGCTATGATTTCTAAGTTTTTAAAACAGGCTTATGATTTTAAGGTAATTTTGAAGAGTTTAAGTTTGCTTTTCATTTTAAAAGAGGATATACCAATGTGTTAGTCTCTAATCCTTCTCTTTAGAGGGCTGAGAGATTAGAGAGTTGAGAGTTAAAGACCAGCCTGGTTTATAGAGTTAGACACTGACTCAGAAAAGACAATAATAAGGAAAAGGAAGGAGAATAGTTATGGTTGGTAAAGGCTGAAGCACATACATATAAGCTTAGGGCAGGCTGTTTGCTTGGCTCATCCTTTTTTAGCAGCCCAAGCCAAGAGGGAAGCCTAGTCATTTAGAACTCTTCTCAGGGTCTGTGATCACTGTAACCCAGTAGCTTATAAGTCTTGTAGGCCATCATAAGAAGTGCTGAATGTGATGTACACATTAGAATCCATTGGAAGGTATTAAGAGAAATGACATGAGCTAACTTTCACATTAAGAAATTCACAGGGGAACTGGAGAGGAAGCACACCAGTTCCTGAGAATTTGTAGATGTGATGGACTTGGGCCAACAAGAGAAAAGCTGTGGTCAGTCACTTGGTCTAAATTATCCCCTATTGGAACTGAGGAGATAGATCATCAGTAAAGCATGGGGTCTTAAGTTCCTTCCTGAAACCCAAGAAAAAAATGCTGGGCATGGTGACACACACTTGAATCTTAGTATTGGAGAGGCAGAAACAGGAAGATCCCTGGGGCTCACTGACTACCTAATGAACCTGAGTGGGTAAGCTCTAGGTCAATGAGAAACCCTGTCTCAAAGAAGGTAGATGGCATTCTAGAGGATGGCATCTGAAGTTGTCTGTTGCCTGCCATATGCATGTGCACGCATGTAGACCCACATCCATGAATAGGCACAGATTTCACCACATTCACACATGCATACAGGTTACCTTCGTCTTTAAGTGGCACAGTGGTGCTCTGATCCATGCATTTTAGCAAACAGAAGTTACATGGTTTGAGTTGTTCCATCTTTAAGTATTTCAAAGTAAACACTTTTGCTCTAACTGTGATGAGTTTTCTGAATTCTCAATCTTGACTAGTATTCCCTAAGATGGAAAACATTCTTACACTTCAGTGTTTTATGCTGTGTGTAAAAATAGATAAAGTCATTTATCTTCTTCTGTGAATGATTTTTTTAAAGTTATGTCATTTTGGATTTTTATATGTAAAAATTGGTTAATTACACTATCTTTAAAATAATGTATTTTGCATCTTTAAAAATCTTCATCTGCTGTCTTTGGCAAGAGAGGAGCGAAGTATCTTTCCTGCCTACGACCAGGCTAAGGTGAGGGCTGGAGTGTACAGCAAATCTGTGAATCCTAGACAGCTGTGCCAAATCCCACTCCTTTGCTAAGAGCTGAGCTGAGTGACAGGGGACTTTAATTACAGCAGCTTTTAGAAGGACAGAGAAAATGAAGGGAAAACAGAAGAACATTTGGCCTTGTTGGCCTTACTCGTGTTCTGGTGTTCATCTAATTAAATCACCATCTTTTCTCTACTCAGGGATCAATGAACAAGGACTCTACCGAATCGTGGGGGTCAACTCCAGAGTGCAGAAGTTGCTGAGTGTCTTGATGGGTGAGTGCAGCAGTGGCTTTGCCAGGCAGGTTCCTTGGGCAGCCTACTCCAAGATTTCCAACTTGTTAGGTAGCCTCTGGAGTAGGAATCAGGATATGCAAATACTGATGCCCAGAAATCTACCATGCTTTCTTGTGGTGGCTGTGGGCATGAATAGCAGAGGTTCAGAGTGGGCCTTTGCTAGACTAAAATGAAATGTCAGGACTAAACACCACACCCAGGCTTCAGACTCATCACCCCAGCCCAACTGCTGCTTCATCAGTCATGTGACTGTCACACCCTACTCCGTCTTTAATAGCTCATGACTCTTTCTGTCCTCTTTAGAGGCAGGTATTCAATAGGGCACACCCTATGCCCAAGAAAGGGCATCTTTCTAGCCTGTGAGGATCTCAGAGGCCTCATGTTCCTCATACTGAGGGTATCGTGTAACTCTCAGATAAAATTTTTTTATGTTCAGATAAAACTCAAGATCCCCTTTGCTTCTAGACTCCAAGCCCTCACTTGAGCACTAGAGCCTCCCCTGTCCCTGGGTGATATATAAATAGAAAGCAACTACCTCCAAATGTGCAATGTTTGAATCAAAATCCATGAGCCAAAGTTGCCTAGGCTGCAGATACCCTGTATTTTTAGCTATGCAGCCAGCTTCAGTGAGTCACATGGATCTAAATGGCAAACAGATCAAATTTCATAGATCAGTGGCTGTTGTCCATGTCCACAAAAGCCCAAGCCTGGTACTTGCAAAGATTAACTCTTATTTAGACCTCTAACTTGGCATTATAGGCAAGAGCCTTTCTCTTATGTTTGCCACTTCTTTTGTCATTCCAGTTTCTGTAAATAGCTTTCATATGTGCAGAAGTCTATTCCTTTATATGGGCCAGAATGAGCACTCACTGCTGTGTTCAAAAACTTCATAGTATTATGACTTACACTGAGAACTGCTGTTTGAAACCATGGTATCTGGAAGGCATTTCTACACTTAGTTTCCACTTTTCAGTTCAGATTTGGGATACAGTTAGTTCTTTTTTTAAATTATTTTTTTAAGATAATTGTAAGATACACATGCATTGAAAAGACCCAACACAAATGGGTATTTCATACCCTTTATTCAATTTCCTCCAGTGATAGCATTGTACCAGGCTGCATTTCAATACCACAACCAAGATACTGGCATTTCTACAGTCAAAATGCAGTGTTTCTACCCCCATAATGGCCTTGTTGTACTCCTTTATGTCTACAACCTGCTTACCTCCTCACACAATCCATAACACTGGTAATCAGTAATCTATTCCTTTTTTCCTTTGAATTTTGTCACTTTGAAATTACTTGTTATAGCCGGGCAGTGGTGGCTCATGCCTTTAATCCCAGCATTCAAGAGGCAAAGGCAGATGGATCTCTGTGAGTTCAAGATCAGCCTGGTCTACAAGAGCTAGTTGCAGGGCAGCCTCCAAAACCACAGAGAAACCCTGTCTCAAAAACAAAAAAAAAAAAACAAAAACAAAAAAAAAAGAAATTACTTGTTACATAAATAGAATAATAGAATATGTAAGTTTGGGGGTTGTCTCTCTTTTTAGTGAGCTTAATTATTTCCAGATTTGATCAACTTGTTGTGTGTATCATTACATCTTAATTTCTTTTTTAATTACTGACTAGTATTCTGTTTTATAGACATGCCACTGTTTAGCCATTCACCCACTGCAGAACTTCTAAGTTGTTTCCACTTTTAGGCTCTAACAAATAAAGCTGCTTTAGATATTTGAATAAAGGATTTTGTATGAGGGTATGTTTGTTCTCATAGGATAAGTGCCTGAGAGTGCTATTGTTGGGCCAAATGTTGATATGGCTTAATTTTGAGAAACCTAATATAAGGAAGAGTTAGAAGTTTAATAGGTATCAGCCTTCAGTCTTTCATTTCTGTTTAGGATCTTTAGCATATTGCTCACTGGTAGTCATATTAGGTTTTAGAAAGAATTCCCTCCTTTCTGCATAGTCCTGGTAGGGTAAGAGATGCACACATCTGAAAGCTGTTATGTAAACACATGATAATAGCACATAATGTGACCTGGATCTGGAGATGGAATAGTGAAGGAAAGAGGAGGATTCAGATTGAGCAAATCTGAGCAACAACAGCATGGCCAGAATCTATTGTTGCTGTAGGATTATTCTTTAATATTTGAGAGAGCTACTTGAGACTGAAAGAGGGCAGTTAGTGCTGAACAACTAAGGTGGTCTTTTCTTTTTTTTTGCTGAGGTGTTTAGTAGCTTTTTTCTAATCTCTCAAATGAAATAATGCTTTATTACATGTTTTAAAAGTTATATACATCATGCCAAGAGTCAGGAATTGATTTAGAATAGTTCACTGAAAAAAAGGCATTTGCTTATGTTGCTGGACCAACTTTGGTACCATCCTAGTTACTCTGAGCCATTTCCCTTCTTTCTAGTTTCTCATTATCTTTTTCCTCCGCTGGCCTTGGCTTTGGCTTTGCTCTCTCTAGTAGTGTCCCAGATAGACCCAGGCATTGCAGTCCTTGGAGCTTGCATCATACAGAAGAGTGTCTTTCGGGAGACAGTTTTGGCAGAAAGCCATAGTGAGGACTTTGATTGGCTAGTGTGGACCATTTACATGATAAACTTTTTATTTTGGAGCTAATCATATTATCTTCAACGGATGGATGTAGATGGCCTGGAACCTGTGCCTATGTCTGGGCCTGAGGGTAGGGATGAGGTTAGTCCACAGAAACCCATGGACTGAGTAGGATCATCGATGAGAAAACAATGGGGTATTTTCCTGAAGTAATGATTGTTATTGTGTTGATGAAGTGCATCTGACACAGTAGTAGCAAGATTAGATTCTAGCATTAGGTGACAGAATATGGAATATGTATGTGATCATATTCCATATTCCTATTGCCCTAGAAGATGGCAATAGATGAGGCAGAGAGCTGGGGCTCTGTATCCAATATTGTATATAAATAGATCACCAAGATGAGGCTTCAAATTGAATTCAAAGATGATAATATGAGGAGACACCATTGAAAAGAAATGCAATGTTTTAGAAGACTGCTAGTCTAAAGCGGTCCACTTTGGGCAAAAGAGGTGTTCTGGAAGGCAGTGGTTCTAACCACTGCTTTCAGCAGCCCTCTAACATGGTATTGTTTTTGCTATTTTCCTTAATTGGCCTAAGTATAGAGAAAGGTGAATATGACCATCTAAAGAATGTCATGAAAGAATAATAACTATCAACTGACAGTCACAAGTCCAGTTGACTCTGCCAGGAGAGCATTACAGATAGACTGGAGTCTAAACAATCCTACCAGTGGTAGAGCTGACCAGATGTAAGATGTAACCTAATGCTGAGAATGGGACCCTTGAGTCTCCCTATCAGTCAATGGAATCTTGTACTCTTGCAATTGTCAGGCCAGTGTTCTAGGTGCAGGTCTGTCTCCCTTTCCTCTTTCTATTATACTCTCTTCATCAATTCTGAGTACCATTCCTGACTTGCGCTAGCCAGTGGTCTAGAATAAATTCTGCTCTCAGCTTCAGGGTTCAGTGTGAACTACATACACACTCCTCTATTCTTACCTTTTTTCATACCAGCTATGTGCAGATACAATGTAAGACTGCTTCTAAGTGGGTTTATGTGTTCTTGGTATTACAAATATGGTTTAAAATAAGAGCCAAACACCAACTTTGATCACTAGTTCATTTTCTGTATTCTTAAGTCGCTGGGGGAGTAAGGTGGGATGGAGAATATGGGAGTCAATGTGTTGAGAATGTCTTTGCTTTACTGATTAGAAATCCTTAAGAAGGCTTGGTAGAATTCTTCATAGACCCT